AATCTCCCCAAAACCCCAAAACCCCAAAACCCCTATTGGGAGATAAAGTATTGAATCTTTCACATGCACTTTCCAACCACAAAGAAGCAGGAGGCCTACTTTCTTAACGCATGCTTCCAAAGTAGAGCTTTTATAGTATATTTTTTCTTCCTCCAAACTGAGGTTGCCATAAATACAATTTTGATTACCTCAGCACGCCTTGAGTCAACTAGATTCAAGACCATGGCTTATATCTCTAAAGGTTGATTTGAATATGTTCAAAGCTAATCTAACCCAGCCGAATAGAGGTTTTCAAGGAAGTTTATATGCCACTTAAAAGCGCACTATGAAATACATTTCAAACAATATTAGTAATGGATTTATGGGCATTAAATCCTCTAGAGAATAAGTGTAGCATAAAGTATCTAAGCTGCAGTTCAAAAGTTACTGGGCTCAAGAGATTAATCCATAAGTTATAGTGAGAAATATGAAATTTTCTGGGTTAGTTAGGTAAGAATACGAGTAATTATGACCTTTGACACTATTTCTACAATCCAAATAATAGCAACAGGTTAAGCTTTCTTAAGCTACCCTTTGAATTCCTCTGTAACTGTAAATTTCTGTTTATCCCCTCCCTGTGGCAATTTGTTGAGAAGATCTCTTATTCATGAGCTCTGCCTTCGGAGGCTGGTTGAAATAGTCACTAGTGTGGCTCTTTTTCAAAGCAGGTGCTCCGAGAATACCCATGTATGTGTTTGATGAAATATTCCGTAAAGGACGATCACTTCTAAAATTGAGAGCTGAAGCTCCGAACTTTTCAACCTTCTCTCCTTTTGGAGGAAGGTGAGATATCATTCCTGTTGTAGTCACCATATTTGTAGGAGGGTCTCTTTGACTACTTCGTGGGTTAAAATCTCGATATGTCAAACCAATAATGGGATTGATAGAGCCATACTTAGTCTGATTGTAAGGATTTGACACCCAATTCAAGTTCTTGAGATTATTGTAAGTATCCCTTCTGATAATTGGAGCATCAACAGAGTTCCCACGCACTTTATTCATTATATTTGTATTCAGAGGGGGTTTCATATCTGTTATAGCTTTAGGTTTTTTAGGCTCCTCATCTGCTGCTTTGATTCTGGGAGGAATAGGCACACTGATTTTGCTATTCTTCTTAATAATCCAATCGTAGTAATAATCATGCTCATAGTTCATTCTCTCTGATATATCTTGCAGATATTTTCGCAATTGAATATAATCAGGCTTTTCTTCAAATTTGAGGCCTCTTCAGTAATCCATATATAATCCGAACTCCTTAGGGAGTCCTTTAACAAGCTGATCAACAGAAGTTGATATTTTATTTCTGTTTGATGAGATCGTATTTGCTCTTCTTAGTCTTTGTTGTAATGCCTTGCCAAGGTAATTTACCTTTTAGGAAGTAGATAAGCACGAATCCTACAGATTCAAGGTCATCTCTTCTTCCTTGTTCTACCCCTATATGGGTGTTAACACTGGCATATCTCGCTGTGCCTGTCAAGCTCTTGCCATCTCTGTAGGGAATATGGTCACCTGTTCTAGGATTTTTATACCGTTTGGCAAGTCCAAAATCTATCATAAATACTAAATGCTGATGTTTGCCTAGACCCATTAAGAAATTGTCAGGCTTTATATCCCTATGCAAGAATCACTTGTTGTGAAGACTTTCTAACCTTTTGATCATATGGTCACCAATCATCAGAACAGTTTTAAGAGAGAACTTCCTCTTGCAGTAATCAAAGAGGTCTTCAAGAGAAGGTCCCAACATATCTATAACAAGGCAGTTATAGTCTCCTTCAATGCCGTAATAGTAGACATTAGGGACCCCTTCAGTACCTTTGAGGTATTTATACAGCTTAGCTTCATAATAGAGTTGAGGGTACTTAGTCTTGACATTCTCAAGCTTCACAGCCATATTCTCACCGGTTTTTACATTAATACCTCGATAGATTTCACCAAAAGCCCCACTTCCTAACTTCTTTCCAAGTTTATATCGACCTCCTACCTTCATGTCCATTATGAATTTATAAAATTTAATATTTTCATTTCCTTTATCACCAAAAGGGGTTTTGGGGTTTTGGGGTTTTGGGG